CAAGGCTGGAGCCCGTCTAGGAGTCAGAGGCTGCGTCCCCCACAACTCTACGACCTGCAGAGATGGGTCGGGGCTGCGGACCTGGGTTCAGCGCGCTCCTGCTCCTCGTGCTAGTGGGGCTGATTTTGCCAGGTTTGTCGGGGGCCGGGAAGAGGGTGTGTGTGTGTTTGTGTGTGTGTGTTAAGGGAATGTGGGGAGCACTGAATAAAATTGGGAGTCAGGTGCCCTAGGGTCCCCAGGGTGGCAAGGGGAGGGCTAGTTGCCGGGAGTTGGGGACAGAAGCACCTGCGTCCAGGTAGGATTATGGAGTCTTTGGGATGAGTGATGTGTGGGTTGAACCTGGGGGTTTGACCCGGGTGTCTTGGGGAGAGGTGTAATGGGGCAGTGGGTTAGAGGCTAAGTAACAGCTGGGAGAGTCCCTTGGCCTGGGAAGCTGTGCTGACCACCTCTATCCCGCTCAGGCGATGGCAATGAGGGCAGCGTCGCTGGAAGTTGTTACTGTGATCGTTTAATTTCTACCCCCACAATGGAACAGAAGCAACACTTAGGAAAACACCTGAAAGCCTACCAGAGCTGTCCGCCCTTTGTCAGGTAGTCTTCTCACCCACCCCTAGAAGGGCAGCGCCTGTCCAGTCCCGTCCTACCAGGTGCCTCTAGACCCTCTTCTGGTCAAAGCTAAACTCCTTGCGGGTGCACCTAGCCCCCTTTCTGGGTTATGTTTGCCTCCATTTCGCACACATTCACCTCCCTGCCCCACCTACCTGGGGACTTCCCAGTCCCAGGAATAAAGGCTTTTTCTTGGTGGTGACTTCATACCTTTGGAATGAGGAAGGAGCTGGGAGAGGGGAGCCATCAACTGATACGAGGTCCTTCTTTGGTAGGTTCAATCTCCATCGCCGGACTGTGTGTGGGGACAGGAGTGCACCCTGGGTTTTAGAGCTGATGCGTTGCTTTGATAATGGAGGTGAGTGGCTTTCCCTCTCTTCCGCAGGCTCTGCCTCCAGGACTCAGCCGACTCCACTTTACAATTTTCTTTGACTCACCTCTTTCCCTTGCGACACCTCACATTCCCAGAACCTTCTGATGCTGGCTAGAGTACTTTCACTTAAGTCCCTGTTTACCAAACTTCACTCACCATGACCTTCATGCTTTTTGCCAATTCCTCCTAATAACAGTGCTGTTTACTTAATATTTGTCATGAAATGAAGCCAATATTTTTGCTTCCCAAAATTTAATTATGAAAATTTGAAGACACATACAAAACCTGAAAGAATTGCACAGCGAACATCCACATATTCACCACCTAGATGCTACAATTAACATTTTACTAAACTTGCTTTGGAGACCTGGTGGCGTAGTGGTTAAGAGCTCAGCTGCTAAACCAAAGGTCGGTAGTTCAAATCCACCAGCCGCTCCTTGGAAAATCTGTGGGGGCAGTTCTACTCTGTCCTGTAAGGTTGCTATGAGTTAGAACCTACTTGACCGCACCTAATGACAACAAACTTGCTTTATTCCACCTCCTTCTTATCCATTCCTTTGTCCATCATCAATTCATCTTATTTTCTGATACATTTCAAAATTAGTTGCGGGCATCACTATACTTCATTCAAAATCACTTCAGCAGGTATGTTATTAACTAGACTTCAATATTTTATGGTTCCTTTTTTTTCTTTTGAGGTAAAATTTACATGCAGTGAAATGAATAAATCTTAAGCGTACACAAGTCACTTTTGAAAGACTTAAATAGCAACTTATCCTAAGCATTAACATCCATGAAATCACTAATTTAGTGTGCCAGTTGTATTCTTCTCATAGAATAAATACACAACCATTAAAATACAAAATGTTCTTTAATGGCCCACCTAAAGTCTCCCAGGTCCCACCTAGCGTTAGTGGTATGTATGCATACTACCCTTTGGACTACACACACCTATTTTATCTCATTTAATCCCCCCAGCTACCTTGGTCCTTGGTACTAAAATTATCCCCACTTTACAGCTGGAAAAAATGAGTTCCAGAGAGGTTATGAGACAAGCACAAGGTCACACAGCTACTTTGTAGCAGAGCCAAGGTTCAAACCCAGGTCTCCTGACTTCCTAGTTCAGAAGGCATACTTGTTCTTGGCTTGTGGTTATTCTGTTCGTGGTTCAGTCCTATGGTTTGCTGACTTTGTCGCCCACCTTCCCCTCTTCTCCTGGCCTTCGCCTGTCCCCTTGATGCTCTCCCTAACTCACTACCCTTCCTTCTACTTGCTTCTTCACCTTATGTCCTGGTATCTCTGATTCCTTCCTTCTTGCCTCTCCAGAATGTGGAAGTCCTCTCCACAAGAGTCAAGCTGGCCAGAAGCATTCACCTCCCCTCAGCACTCAGGTTCCTGAGCCCACAAAGGGGGCATCTTCTGACATGGGCACCCCTGCCCAGACGTACCTGCCATCCACTCTGCAGTCTACCCAGCGGCCCACCCTTCCAGCAGCACCACCGTCCTTGGACAGAGGTCACACCCACTTCAATGAAATCATCACTTCCACTGTGGACCACAGTTTGGGGGCTGGGCCTGAGGCTAGAGAGAACCAGAAGCAGCTTCAAGCCAATGTGGGTCCTTCAGCTGGGAGGTCAGCCGCAGCGCCGGTGGTGTCCCTCCTAGCCATCACCTTCGTTCTCAGTGGAGTCCTCGTATACATGCTGTGCAAGAAGAGGAGGGAACAGGCAGGGCCGTACTGTCCAGGTAAACTGGACCTCGGACACCCTTCGCGAGAAGTCCAGAGCCTCCCTGTCAGGGGCCCTGTCCCAGTAGCTCCCAGGTGGCTGGAAGACCTGACCCAGGCAGACAAATATTAAGGCTGTCTGCACCATGGACCATAGGCCTTGAAGGATGATCAGCCAGGAGGAGGGAAGCCACTATGGGCCAGGGACCAGTGCTTGGAGAAATACCTAGGAGAAGATGGCAGCTAGGGTAGGCTAGTGGGAGATGAAGCTGTGGAGAAGATGGGGCCATACATTCAATTCACAAATCTTTATTGAGCACCTACTGTGTACCAGAAGGAGCCCTGGTGGTGAAGTGATTAAGCACTCAGCTGCTAACTGAAAGGTCGGCAGTTGGAACCCACCAGCCACTGTATGGGAGAAAGATGTGGCAATCTGATTCTGTAAAGATTTACAGCCTTGAAAATCCTATGGGTCAGTTTTGCTCTGTCCTATAGGGTCGCTGAGTTGGAATTGACTTGACGGCAACAGGTTTTGGTTTACTGTGTACCAGGTCATGGGGTTAAGGTCTTGGAGTCTGATTCCCCAGTTCAAGCTACAGTACCTGCTCCCCCAGTTCCTTTGATCTCAGAGCTCATCTCTGAACCTCTTCATCCCTTCCAGATTTGCAGATCCATTACGCAACAGTGTCAGAAGACTCCATCGCCTGAACCAGACTCCTGCAAGAATGAAAGCTCTGTGATGGCAGACTGCTTTATTCAGTGTACTATTTGGTGTACTTCAACCATCTGGCACATAGTAGACACCCTACGTATATCTGTTTAATGAATAAATAAGCAGCTGCTGCCCTCTCTTAGTCACTCCCCCCTCCCTTTGTTAAGTTCTATATGTAATGTAAAATCCCCTTTTTACACTGTAATGATATCCTGGAGAAATTGTTTGTTTACTAAAAATTATTTTTGTAATTATCAGCTCTTCTTTCTGCAGACTTTGGCCTCAGGCCCTTGCCCTTCAACCATGATTCCTGGCTTTGGCTTCTCTGTCGATGGTTCCCTCTTGTTCCAAATTTCTCCTCAGTCTATACCAGCTGTTCCTCCCCAACCTCAGTCCTTTCCCTTCCCTCTCCCAGGCCCCACAGTAAAGGCCTGGGCTTTCCCACCTCCCTTCCCTCGCCACTGTGCTGCTGACATCATACAGACTGGTTTCACTTCCACCATCCCTTGAATGCCCCAATGAAAAGTCTAATCTTGTTTTCATTACTTTTATTGTAAAAACGCTTAGTTTCTGTTTTGTTTTTCCCAACGAAGAAGAATGTGACTTCACTGGGCCTAGTCTGCAGGCAGTCTGGGGCAGGGACATGAAATGTCTGAGGAAGTGGGTTGAGTGTCTGAATCTCCATCTCCCGCCTGAGCTTGTTGGTGGCGGTTGTGTGAAGTGCAGAGCAGGAGCTCCCTGCTGGAGGGCCAGAGTGCAGTGGTGGGCAGGCTTGCCACCTTTTGCCCCTTTGCTCTAGTATACCCTGACCAGCGGGGCAGGTATGCATCAGCCTGTGCTCCCTATCCCTTCAGGTCTCCAGCTTCTGTCCTGGGTGCAGCTGGTGCTTCACTTGCTTGGCCTAGTTTTCCAGCATCTGCTCACAGGTGCGGGCCACATCAGTGAGCTTGAGGCGGGCGTAGTCCACTCGCTTCAGGGCCATCTGACAGTCCTTCCTTGAAGAGTAGCTGGAGCCTTCATGGGGCTGCCCTGTGGCCACCTACAGAACAGTAAGACTCATCAATGGGGCACCGTCTCCCTTACCCATCCTGCCTCAGCCAGGCATTAGGTCTCTTTTCTCATTTCCTCCCTGAGTTTGAATCCCAGTCATGCCACATGGTAGCTGGGTGACCTAGGGCAAATAACTTCAGTTAACCTCATCTGTAAAATGGGGGTGGCAATAATTGCTTCCTAGAGTTGTTGTAAGGAGCCTGGTGGTACAAAGGTTAAGTGCTCAGCTGCTAACCGAAAGGATGGCAGTTCAAACCCACGCAGTGGCTCTGCAGAAGACCTGGCGATTTGCTCAAGTAAAGATTACAGCCTAGAAGACCCTATGGGGCTGTTCGACTCTGTCACATGCGGTTGCTATGAGTCACAAATCGACTTGACGGCACCCAACAACAGAGTTGTTCTGAGTGGAGGTATGAAAGGTTGGAGGTTTGAGTCCACCCAGAAGCTCCTCGGAAGATAGCCCTGGTGATCTGCTTATGAAAGGTCATAGCTTTGAAAACCCTATGGAGCAGTTCTCTGTACAATGGGGTCACCATGAGTCTGAACGGCAACTAACAGTAACAACAAAGAGTTGTTGTAGGGTTATGTAAGATAGTGCTGTGTCTGGCACATGGCAAGAATTTACTAAACGGTAGTAACTGTTGTAATGACTTCAGAACCCTTTCAATCCTGTTCCTTTTCTCGTGATAGAGGCATCTGGGGCCTCATGCTGAAGTCAGGCCAAGTTTCTGAGGACAAAGGCCAGTGGCTTGGGCACTTTTTGCATGTCGCCTCCCAGGCACTTCCCCATCCGATAACTCATTAGATACAACCCAGTGAGGTAGGCAGGACTGCCTTTAAACCTCTCCTTTTAAAGGAAGAAACCGGCCGTGTGTCAACTGGCGTTATTAGCTGTGAGGTCAGCTCGGGAGGCCTCGCCTTGCCCAACTCCAGAGGCCAAAGCTCTGCCTCGGACTCCAAAGGTTGAGGCTAACAGCCAGGGCCTGCTCGTAGCACCTCCCACCATACACCCACCTGGGTGAGGTAACGGATCTGAGCGGACAGCTCCGCCTCCACGTGTTGGACCGAAGCCGTGAAGGCTGCCGCCTGCCGGTCCAGGAGCCGCTCATTGGTTTTTTCCTTGGACAGTTCCAGGATCACGTTACCTGCGGTGCGGAGAGGGGGCGGGGCTACCGGGAGACTGCTAGTATAGCCCCGCCCCAAGGCCAGTCCCTCCCACCCCACAACCACCCGCCCCAATACAGTTCGCCGCGCTTGCACTTAGGATCCCTCCCCACCGTGCTCCTAGTCTCTGGTCGGCGCAGGTACAAGCCCCTTAGCCTCGTTCTCACTCCTTGCTGTCCGGTCGTAGCATCCCGAACCTGCATTTTGAAGAATGGCTCCGATTTCCCGTTCGATGTCTTCCAGAGCGCGTAGTCGCTCGTTTGCCAGGCTGCAGGTAGCCATTATTACTCTGGGAGGCCTCCACAGAATTTTCCCGTTTTCCGAAACCCGACGCTTGAGTCCGGAAGTGGCTTGACGTTTGGCGCCTGCGCAGGTAGTGCTCTCTAGCTGGCACTACAATTCCCAGGATGCTCGGCGCAGTCTTAGTTTTCTCCGTCCACCTGGTGAACTACGACTCCCAGGGTCTCCTGAGGTTGGTTGGGTGAGCGCTTCCAGCCAGGGACCACCGGTGTGGTAAGAGGCGGTGTTGAAATAGTCCTCAGCCTGAAGCCATTCAGGCCGGTCAATTTTTACGATACTGTGTTGTGTACTATATATAATTTCTTCTATAAGAACTTATTAAGTCTCTGCTGGGTATTAGGTGATGATGGTGGGAGCTTTGGGGTGTTCCTCTGCCTGCCCACCCTGCTCCACCATAGTCAGGACCAGGGAAAAGCTTGACTTGGTGAGTGTTACGTTATTGCCCCTAGCGCTTCCCCGTGACCATGAGCCCAACCGAAAGAGATTATCAATATATTCTCATATGCCGGTTCCTTCCAGCCTTCTTCCCTTTCTATTTCTGGTTGCTTATTATGTGCTGGGGCTCTGAGGGTACGAAGTTGAATGAGACAGACTCTCACGTGACAGTAGGATGGGTGCTTTGATGGAGATATGCCTACAGTATATGGCTAGGAGCACAGAGAAGGGGCCTGTAACTCCGCTCAGAAAAAGGAGTGTCGGATAAAGTTCTGCTTGAACTGGATTTTAAAGGGTTAGTTATTGGCTAGGTGGATGAGAGGTTGGAGTGGAAAAGGGAAACAGCATAGACAGGACCATGTTGCTGTGAAGGGGTCTAGTTCATTTGGGGTACAGCTGCACGGGGTTCAGTTTGACTAGAGTGAATGAGGTATAGTGGTGGTTAGGTAGGACAATGTTGAGTCTGGAGGGCGAGCCAGATCAGGAAAAGGTTTGCAAGCTAAGTAATTTGGATTGTATTCTGAAGGAATTTGGAAGCCTTTGAAGTATTTTAGGAAGTGTGTTACCACGACCACATTTAATTTTTGGGAAAGATCACTCTTGACAACTTGATGGAAGATGGTCAAGAATAAAGCCAGTTTGCCCAGGGGTAAAAGATGGAGACTTTTCAGTTAAACTTGACGGAGCTAGCATTTAACTTCACTCCTCTAAATCCTAATAAAATGACAATAAAGAGATTTTAAAAAGGGAGAGGAGTTAACAGCAAAACTTTCAAGAGAAGCTGCAAAATAGAAAGGTAAGTGGTAACTGGTTTGGCAGTGAAGTGGTCACTAAGCCAGCAGTGACGAAAGCCTACGGCAACCTAATTTACCCGTAAGTTGGTGGTATCGTGTACATCTGGGGTGAAGGTGGTACTAAAATTAGGATTATTTGAAGCAGTTGTACCCCCAGATCTCCTCTTTGACCTCATGTATCTGTGTAACTACTCATGCCTCACTCATCAGAATACTGGAGGTTTCTTTGCTGGAGGTAGAAAATAGAAAGTCTTTGGCCTGTAGGGCCCTGGGCCCTGTTGAGGGCAAGAGTACTGTACTGAAAGTAGAGATCAAGTGAAAGTTTGTATACTGAGTGATGGCAACTAGGCTTATGCTTTCTAGGTAGGAGACCGGAAGACTCATCTCTGGGGAGTTTGACTGGTCAGAGGAAAGACCTAAGGATATTAACATCAGGGATTCTCCAACAAAACAGATCATGTCATACTGAAACCCACAGTTGGAAAGTCCAAACTATGCACTTGGTACTTCTAGTCAACTTCTTAGCACCTCATAGACAACAAAAGATTTCTAGATATCTGAAGAAACCTTCTTATGAGATGTAGACCAAAATAAACAGGGAAAAAAAGACTCACCTTAGACAAACTCACCAGCTGCTCTGTGGGAGTAAGATGTGGCAGTCTGCTTGCGTAAAGATTACAGCCTTGGAAACCCTATGAGGCAGCTCTACTTGGTCCTATAGGGTTGTTAGGAGTCGGAATTGACTCTACGGCAATGGGTTTGTTTTTTTTAGACAGTATAGAGTAAAACTTAAAAAAAGAATAACCAAAAAACCTAAAACTCTTGAAGCTCTTAGATAAGAGATACTATAAAAAGGGATTGAGTACAAGAAAGTGCACTTGAAAAATAAAGCCGTAAGGGCAGGAATGAAAAGTCCGGCAGAAGGGTTAGAAGAGCAATTTCTAGCAAGTAAAGCAAAAGACGAAGATGGCACATAGGAGGAAAAAGATAAGAAGATTAGAGAATCAGTCCAGGAGGTTTAAATTCTAGAAGGAGAGAACAGAGAAAAGGAAGGAGAAGAAATCACATAAATAATTCATGAGTATTTCAAAGAATGGAAGGACTTGGGCTTCCAGATTAAAAGGGCCCATCAAGTGCCCAACGTAATAGAGAACAACAGGCCTACACCAAGGCAGATCATGTAATACCAGAACGCTAGGCTCAAAGAGAAAGATCTTTAAAGAGCTTCCAGAGAGAAAACAGACTATATGCTAAGGATTGGCAGTCAGAGTGGCTCTGGGCCTCTTAACAATGGCACTCCATGCTGGAAGTCAGGGAGTGAAGCAGTGCCTTCACCGTTTCTGGAGAAAGTGATTTCTAATCTAGAATTCTGTACTCAGCTGTGTTAGGATGAAGCCTAAACTGCGGTGACAGAGACCAGAAAATGCAATGACTCAACAAAATAGAACTTTTTTTTTTTTTTCCCTCATAAAACAGTCCAGTGTGAGTAGGGGGCTGTGCTCCACAAAATCATAACAGGGACCAGGGCTAGCAATGCACCTCTGCCATCCTTTAGGGTCTTATCCTCAAAAGTGTGGTTGCAGGCCAGCAGCCCTGGCATTACCTGGATGCTTACCGGAAATGCAGACCCTTTCAGGTCCTGCCCCAGACCTACTGAATCAGTATCTGTGTTTTAAGAACCTCAGATGATTCCTGTGCACAGTAATGTTTGAGAAACACAGCTCTATGGTGTGGCTGTTGTCTGCGTTGTCAAAAATGGGATGCTGCTGTCTTCTGGGTTGCTGCTGGTAGGCAGGGGGAAGAGGAAATGTGGAGGACACACACCTGGGTCTCAGAGGTCTGGCTAGGACATGGCTCATATCATTTCTACTCACATTCCATTGAAGAGAATGTAGTCATAGGGTCTCACGCAACTCGGGGGTTCTGGGAAATTCAGTCCTTACCTACATGGCCAGCTATTGTTCTCTTACCATGGAGGGATAGATTTTCGGGAATAGCTAGAGGCTTATAACAAGGAGCCTGAGTGGCGCAAGTGGTTGGCGATTGGCTGGTAACTAAAAGGTTGGCAGTTTGAACCCACCCAGCAGTTCTGCGGAAGAAAGGCCTGGCAAACTGCTTCCGTAAAGATTACAGCCAAGAAAACCCTATGGAGCAGTTCTACTCCGTAACACATGGGGTTGCCGTGAGTCACGGGCTGACCTGACAGGCAGCTAATGATAACAGAGTCACGACAGCCAAACTATCAGTTATGAAGGTGGGATAAATGTTTTAATATGTACAAGGTCTCCGAATTTTTCTCCCATGCACCATTTCTCAGGAAGAATTAGAGTTAGACCCAGAAAAAGGAAGATGGGGGATCCAGGAACTAAGATCTTTAACTATGAGAAAGGTGAAGAGGATCCCCAGGATTTCTGGTGAAGGGAAACCCAGGGTGACAAGCATGAAGAACACGCAGTCCTGAATGGAACAGAGTAGAAGACTCAGGGGAGGTTTCTTCAAGGAGATGAAGAGATAGATCATCTGATCTGGTTTGAATGAATTGAGAAGATATACAGACTTTTGGAGGAACATATGGGCTTGAATTAGTGGTAAATTCAGAGAAGCAAATTACAAAATGACAATTTTTCAGGGAAAACAAAGTTGTGCAAGAAGAGAGAGGTGCTCATAATATACCACATGGCTTAGCTATGGATAACATTTGCATGGTCCTAATAATGTAACATACTACTGATCTAACCCAAATTGATATAATTCTCTTGGGAGTGTAGGGTGTGGGGCAGGAAGGAAAGTGTTCCATGGTGGGGCAGGGAAGGAAAAGAGAGCTCAGTCTTCATCTTATGTAGCGGGAAGGCGGTAGATGTTGCTTAAAACAGAAATCAAGAAGTTACGAAATAAGCATGTTGTTTAGAGAGATGGATGTAAATACCAAAAGAAGTCTCTAAAAGAGGTGAAAGTAGTTGCCTCTGAGGAGGAGAAGGGGGGGCAGTTTGCTCTTTATTGTAATAGGTCCAGTGGTACTAGCTGACTCCTTAGACTATATATACTTTTGAAAATAAAAGGTAAAATAAAAACAAAAAGCGAGAGAGGAAACTGTGTGCTTTATGGTAGAAGAAGCCTAAGAGTGGAAGAGTGGTTTTGCTTTGATTTCCTTCCTCTCTCCCTCCTTTCTTTTCCTTCTTTCTTGTGTGAGTTTGTTTACCAGGGCAGAAGAGCCGATAGAGAGAGACAGAGGTTGAAGAGAAGGGAGTGGTTTGATGAATCAAGGTGTCAGGAGGAGGTGGGAGGGGAGAGATCCACAGGTGGAGGGATTCGCTTTGAACTGGAGAAGGCATTTTAACCTTGGTTGTGTAGGAGAATTGGTGTAGTGTTTGCAGGTAGGTGGGAAATTGAAATCATTCATCCCTCATAGCCTCATCTCTTAAAAAACTGTCACCGCGAGAGTGAGGAAGGTTTGGAAAAATTGAGTAGAGTGGGAATGAGAGAGGGCGGTGACCAGGAACATGGAGAGAGACAGAGTTACTGGGTATTGAGGGTGTATCTGAGTTTAGAGACCATACATTTGTAGCAGCCCCAAATCCAAACCTAGCACCTAGCACAGTGGTTGGCACCTAGGATGTGTTAAAGGATGTTTGTTGAATAAATGAATAAGTGTAGTTGTGGGATTTTTCTCCTGCAGCGCTCAGCAGCCCCTGTGTAGGGGCAGAAAACGTGGGTTGTTGGATAGATCCCAGGATGGGGTTTGAGAGCAGGTACCAGAGTCCCCAGGTTAGGAGTGTCTGAATTACATACAACCCATAGTCACCAACCAACCCCGACGTACATACAATGGTTTATAATAACAAACGGGCACTACTTTGCGATGTGCATCAAAACATTATTATTATGTTAAAGATGTCTTAGTGTATTTGGAAGTGTTTTTTAAATGTTTTTTTATTCATAGAAAAGTACGGGATATACTAAGACAAACATTTGACTAACTGATGTTAGATACGAACTGTACCTAACTGTTCCGACTTACAAATTCGACTTACAAACAGATTTAGGAATGGAACTCGTTTGTAATCCAGGGACCGCCTGTGCTGTGAAAGGAGAAGTTGAGTGTGTTGATGAGACAGTGGTTGATACAATGATCTTGAACTTTAGGCTGGAAAGAAAAGGAAGTGCCACAGATTGTGAAAAAGTAGAAGAGTCAAGAGCTTTGTGACAAAACACCAAGAAGCCATAAAAAAAGTGATAATAATCGACTACATTGAAATAAAAAATTTATGCTCTATTAAAAAATACTAGGAACAAATTCAAAAGATAAATGACAAGCTGGGAAAATATTTGCAACATACATGACAGAGGGCTAATTTCTTTAACATATAAAGAGCTCTTAAAATACATTTAAAAAACCACCAACCCAATAAATTGGATTTATCCTCACTCAATAAGAAATGTAAATTAAAACATTTCACCTGTCAGATTGGCAGTGCTAAAAAAGATGCTCATGCTCTTTGCCTCAGCAGTTCTACTTTAAGAATTTGTCCTACAGATACACATCGCAGGTGCAAGAGACATATCTTCAAGGATAATCATTGTAATACTATTTGAATTAGCAAAAGAGTGGACACATCCTACACGACCATCGGTAGGAAACTGGTAAAATAAATAATGATATCTAGGCAAGGGAAACTATGCAGCCCTTTAAAAGAATGAGGGAGATTTATATGTATTGTTTAAGAAGTGAGGAATGCTCTCCTAGATTCGCTGTTAAGGGAAAAAAAGCAAGATATAGAAAAGTGTTCATAATGTGTACCATCTATATTTTAAAAAGCTGGTGGTGCCAATGGTTAAGCACTCTTGATTGCTAACCAGAAGGTTGGTGGTCTGAACCTACCCTGAAGCACCTCAGAAGACAGGGCTGGTAACTCCTTCTGAAAGGTCACAGCCTTGAAAACCCTATGGAGCAGTTCTACTCTGGACACAAGGGGTTGCCGTGAGTCGGAATCAACTCAGTGGCAACGAACAACAACATATTCGCGCAGGTGTGACTGAGTGTAGAGAATATCTCTGAAAGAATAATCGAGAAACTGATTCTAGGTGATTGCCACCGGCAGGAGGAATGGGCGGTCGGGGAGCGGGGCAGGAGAGAGCCTCAGTTTCATTGTTTACTGTTTTATACTGCCTGGATATTTTTTAAAACCATGTGCATGTATTACCTTCTTAAACACATTAAAAATATAAAAAGGAAAATAATTGTTTCTCAAAAATGTGTGGTCTCAGGACCAAAAAAAACCAAAAAAACCAAAGCCACTGCCGTGGAGTCGATTCCGACTCGTAGAGACCCTATAAGACAGAGTAGAACTGCCCCGTGGGGTTTCCAAGGAGCGGCTGGTGGATTCGAACTGCTGACCTTTTGGTTAGCAGCCTGAGCTCTTAACCACTGTGCCACCAGGGCTTCAGGGCCACCTGCATTAAAATCATCCTGGGTGCTAATTAAAAATCCAGATTCACTGGAGGGCATTATGCTGAGTGAATTTAGTCAATCACAGAAGGAAAAATATTGTATAAGAACTCAAGAAAAGGTTTAAACACAGAAGAAAACATTGTTTGATGGTTATGAGGGTGGGGAGGAAGGGTGAGGGTTATTCACTAATTAGATAGTAGACAAGAATTATCTTAGGTGAAAGGAAGGACAGCACACACCACAGGGGAAGTCAGCACAATGGGAC